CAAACCGAGCCCAGTTGTGGATCCCACAGAAATTCATCTAGCTAATGAGAAGGAAGGAACATGACAGGAGAGGCAGGGTACATGGGGTGGTGCTGGGGCTCATGTACCCCTGTGAAGGAGGGGCAGGACAGCAATAAGCATGTCACCCAACCAGCAAGCGCAGAAGCTTCCAGATGAAGCTTTGTTCTAACTGTGGATGGGGAGTGAGACCCAGGCTTCTAAACTGTAAGCAAGGGATTTGTTTCCCAGTGCACAGAACCCTCCCTGGACTGATCTCCAAAGCCCCCAGGCCACAGCAGGGCCCAAAGAATGCAACAGTCACTCTTGGGTTGGATGTGGGTATGGACAGTCATCTCCTCAAAGGAATGTTAGCTTGGCCCCTGTCCTCCCACCCACCTACCCCCACACCCCCCAGCAGGGACTAGACCCAACCCCTGCTCGGGGGAAGAGACAAGTCCCATGCCTCTGCTGATGGAGACAGGCCTGGAATTGGGGACCAAGCTGGAAGCGACCCCTCCCCATCTGAGACCTGTCCAGGGATGAGGCAGGACCTGTATCTGGGCCTGGTGTGGGGGCGGGGAGCAGACTGAGTAAGCTGCAGGGCTTGTGTTGTGCGAGCTCCCAGGATGACGGTCTGTCTACATGTGCGTGGGGCTGGTACTTTTCCAAGGGCTTTTAAATGTATTATCTTGCTGGAGGCTCATTTGAGGCAAGAACTCAGAGCAATGTGGAAAACAACTAATTTACTGAGTCCTGAATGGAGAGGAAGCTGAATGCAGCGTGTATTTTTGCTGAATCTCAAACCAAAACAACCTTTTGTTAAAGAACAAACAAACAAACAAAAATGCTGAACACTAATTCACCAGGGAACACAGTCTGAACTGAAGCTCTGGGCAGAAAATCACAGCAGAAAATTCAACAGGCATTTGCTGGGTATTGAGGGGCCTGCGGGGGATCACGGGGTAGCTCCTGAGCGAGAGCTTTTGGGGGCACAGCAACAGCATGTCCTTGTGGGCAGGGCACAAGCTCCCCGGCAGCCTGCCAGCCGGGAAACATCAAGAGAGCCTGGTGGGGGAGGGGCAGCCTCAGGAAGGAATGCTCTGAGCGTGTGGTCCCGGCAGGGGGGAAAGGAAGGACAATTGGGGGCTCTGGGGGGGGGTGCCTGAATGGGATGTCTTGTCAAGAAGGGCCTAGAGGGAAAGGCAGAGGAAAAAAGTCTGCAGTACATAAAGGGAGTCCTCTGATGATCCACTGGCGTGCTGACCCCCAGCACCCCATTGGAAGAAACTTCACTGCACTCCGCTCTTCGCTAAGATGTTTCTGTATGTGCCTACATATGGTGGCTATGTGTTTACGTGTTCCTATGTGTGCTCATGGGGGGTGAGGATGTGTGTACTTGTGTGCCTGGGCATGTGGAGACTGCTGTCCTTCCTCAATCCCTTCTCTGCCTTATTGAGACAGGGTCTCTCACTGAACCTGGCGCTCACTGATCTGGCTAGAGGGCTGGCTAGTTAGCAGGCTCCAGAGATCGTCCTGTCTCTATGGCCCCAGCACAGACTGCCAAAGCCTAGCTTTTATATAGGTTCTGGGGATCCAAACTCAAGCCCTCATGCCTGCCATAGCAAGTACTTCATTGAATCATCTCCCCAGCTCGACTCCTTTCTCTGAAATGTCTCTCTTCCAGCTCAATTGGCCTCAGTGGCTAGACTTGGCTATCTCAAGAGTCAGGTGGCCACAAACTGTTCCCTGAAGCCTCCATCATGGCCTGACAGGGGCTGTTCCCTTGCTGCAGTCACTGTGAGTGGTTCTGGGCCTTCCAAGGCTCACGTGGAGGCAGACTGCTTGCAAACACACAGAGATCTGTCACTGATTCTCCTGCACTTCCTCCTTGAGGTTTACATATGAGCTCTGAATGGCTGAAAATCATGTGTGAGAGGCTTGATGTCCAGTGTAGCTAGCCATCCATGTTCAGAGCTGATGCTATGGAGCAGTGATGGGATCATTAGGGTATGCGATGGTTAGTTTTGTCAATTTAACATAACCTAGCATTACCTGGGAAAAACAGTCTCAAGGAGGGCTTGTCTACACTGGGTTGGCCTGTGGGCACATCTGTGTGTGTGTGTGGCGGGGCGGGGGAGGGGGTTACAAGTTAATTGATAGGGGAGGATCCAGCCCACTGTAGGTGGCATGATTCCATAGGCAGGGGAGACTGAACTGTTTCAGTGCAGAAGTCTGGGCTGGAGAGATGGCTCAGCGGTTAAGCGCGCTGGCTGCTCTTGCAGAGGACCTGGGTTCAGTTCCCAGCACCTACATGGTGGCTGATAACTGTCTATAACACCAGCTTCAGGAGATCTGATGCCCTCTTCTGGTCTCCATGGGTACCAGGTATGCATGAGATGGACATAACATACACGGAGGCAGAACATTCACACATATAAAAAATCATGAGGAGAAACTGCACTGAGCACAGGCCAGCAGACCTCCCTTCTGCTCCTGACTCTGGGTAACCAGCTGTTGGAAGTTCTGCAGTGACAGACTAGAATCTGACACTGTGCACTAAATAAACCCTCCCCACAAGGTGCTTTTTTTTTTTTTTTTTTTTTCAGGGCATTTTATCAAAGGAACAGAAATGAAACCAGAACAGAGCACTAAGTTCATTGGCGATTAAGCCACTGAGTTCATGCTGAATGTTATTAAGGAGGTGGGGCCTAACAGGAAAAAGCAGACCCCTGGGGACATGCTTCAAAGACACATCTCTTTTCTCTGCTTCCTGACAGCCATGAGGTGAGCAGCCTCCAGCTACCTGCTCCCACCACCACTACATTCTGCCTCACCTCAGTCATGAAGCATTGGAATGAGACTGAGCCCTCCCTCTGAAACTATGCACCAAAATAAGCCCTTCATCTTTTCCAGTCCCTCAAGTCTTTTATCACAGTGAGGACAAGATGGTTCACACACACTTTCCCTGGCACAGACAGACCTGGTCTTTGGGGAGAGGCTTCTTGAGGTCTGGAACTTGAAGGGGAGGTACCTTCATGGTTCTGACTCTGCCCCCTTTCCATACAGCCCACTTCCCCAGGCTACAGGATGGGGACTGCCTGGCTTTCTTCCAAAAGGTCATGGTCCAGCTAAGGTGGCTGAACTAGGATACAATGATAGCCCAGCACTGGGTGACTGAGGGCACAGAGCTGGGACTTCCTAGTGAACCAGGAGTAAGGTGCTGCAAGTTGCAAAAGCTGTGGCCTCCAGCCCTGCACGTCTAAGCACCTTCAGGCCACTTACCCTGCTCCCTAGAAAGGCCCAAGGTGTACATCTCTGTGTTCCTTCAACGCTGGAGACACACAGGTGACTAGCAGAGGCCGGATCTCGCCCCACCCCATGCTAAGTCAGAGACAAGAGGACAGTCTCCTTCCTTCTGTGCTCTACAAGCCCTAGCGGAGCTGACAGCCCCCAGCAAGCAAGTTGAAGAGCCAACCGGATCCTCAGCACCTCCATGTGGTGGTGGTGACAGTGACCTGGCCTAGCGCCACACTCTATCCACGGAGGCATCGCCTAGTGGGCTGGCCTGCCTTGGCTGGCTGAGTACCATCCTCATGGATACTAAGTAAGTTACCTGTTCACAGCTCTCCAGAATCCAGGCTGACATGACCCTAAGGGTGCCCACCTGCCCTGAGATCCTGCCACCCGTTGCTGGGGATCTGGCAGAGCTTGGGGAAGCAGTTGTACCCTCAAGCCCTTTGGCCCTGGGGAAAGCAGGGCCTTTGGCTCACCCCCAGCAGCCCTGACACCAGGCACTACAGCACAGGCCCTAAGCCTGCAGCTGGTCCCCAGCTGGGTCCCTGGTCCTGAGGCTGCCTTTGTGCCCACACAAGGGAGACTCAGTTCCTCTGCTGCCCCTTGACCCTGCTTCCTGTGTCCACATGGGCACAGGCCCCTGGTGGGGGGAAGTGACGGTACCAGCTGCCCCAGAGGAGTCAGACCACCTCAGTGACCCCTGTCTCCTCTGGGGTGTCTCTGAGGGAAGCTGGCGAGAGCTGCCTACTGCAAGCAATTAAGTGAGCTAATGACCCATGAAGGCTTCTGCCCTCGGGGCCTGCCATGCCTCCCTCTGCTCAGGAGCCCACTACCTCCCACTCATTTGGCCCCTGCCCACAATGGCTATTAATGTGTCAGGCGAGGTCTTTTAAACAGGCCTGGGGCCTCAGAGGGGGCTCTCGGCTTTTCAGGTCCACCTGGGGCTATGCACACAGCATGCAGATAATTCATTTGCTTGGGATCAGACCCAAAAAGAGCTACTTTATTTCCAGGGCTGCAAGGGGTCCTGGGGTGCTTAGGGTGATGTGGTCTGTGGGCTCAGGACACAGATAGGGCACGTGTCCTAAGGCCTATGGCCAGGCCCATGCCGCACCGTTCCACAGGATATGTGGAGGGAGCCCCTCCCTGGTGCCCAGGTCCCTATCTCCCCTCAGGAAGTCATACTGGGATGTACTGAGATGCACTGGGATAGAAGGTACAAAGAAGCTGGGGTTTTGTCATCTAAACTTGAGGGACGTCATCCCGTGACACCATGAGGCCTGTCTACCCTGCTTTACCTGGGCCCAGGTGTGATGTGCAGACCCTGAACCCCGGCTGAGCTCCTGGGAATCAGAGGTGGTTTCCCAATCAGGTCCTGTATGACCTAGGACGGTGTGAGATAGTAGGGTGGGTTCAGAGCTGAGATAAGTCACTCCTGCCCCATGTTAGCAGGGCTTCTCAGACGCTGTCCTGCAAAGTGTGTGTGGAACACATTCAGAAAATCAAAGCAGCTGGCTGAACAGGCCTGGACCTGAGGGCTGCTGTCCTCTGCCCCAGACCCCAGGGCTCCAGGCTGTAAGACCAGCTCGACCAGCCCATCTCAAAGCCAGGCCAAAGGGCAGAGGGTTCAGACTGCCACACCTCAGCCCCAGGGAGGCCCAGACTGGCTTTGTAAACAGAGGGTTGGGAAAAGCAGTGCACAGAGGTAAGGCTATGGTGTGGCCATATTTAATTCAATTTCAGGTGAGGCTCTTCCTGCTCCAGAGTTGGGGCTCTACTGGCAGTCACATCTGTCCAGGCGTGGGCTGGCTGGACACCCCAGGAGTCCCCTGTTGGAGCAAGCAAGGGCCTGGGCAGGGAGGTACACACAGTTCAGAGGGTAACCGGAGGGCTGAGGTGGGTAGCCCTAGGGCCCCAGGGTGGGGCATCAGGGACAGCCAAGTTGGCAGAAGCAGACCCACCTGTGACAATCTTCCCCAGGCCCCACCTAGCCCTTAGGCTATCTTCTAAGACAGAAGAAAGGCTCACTTCCATCGCCACTAGTTACAAACAAAACACAAGCTAAACGCATCTTAACTCAGCGCAGAGTGAGGTAGAGAGCCGCCCCACATCACCAGGCAGAGATGAGCAGTGGCTCTCAAACGAGCCTGCGTCTCTTGGAGTCCCGGCCCACGTCACCTTCCTCGGCATCCACCTCCCGGTCGAGTGGGGACACTAGGTTCAGCAGCGGGTCCTCAGAGGCACGGCCGAAAAGTGCCAACAGGAGCGCCACGCCAAAGCCTGTGGCCCGCTCGCCCTGGAGCAGGGGGAGCAGGAAACGTAGGTTCGAGGGGCACATCTGTGCAGAAAGGACTCCCTGGGGTCCCCTCCCTGGCCTGCCTTGTGCCTTTCGGCCCCCTTCTCCATAAGGAGGTCCCAGAACACAAGTCGATGTCTTGGGCCTTCTGACAACTGTCGTCACATGCTCAGGGCTCAGGGTGGGGAGGGTCCTGGGCCTCCTGCTGAGCACAGGCTGGCTGGGAGGGACAGCACACAGCAACTACTCTGTTCCCAGGGATGAAGAGACCAGAGGTCAGGGGGACCACAGCTGGCCGGAGGTTGGGCCATGGACATTGTGACCCACGACACAGAATGTTTCTGATGAGCACAGCAGCAGCTCTGGAGCCAGAGGGGCACCAGAGGGACCGGGGACAGAATGGCCTAAGCTATGAAGGGGGACAATGGGAAAGTGCCTGGCAGTTAGGACGGAAACACTCACAGCGTGCACTGGAGCTGCAATGTCCAGGTGGACCCAGACCCCAGGCCAGTCGAATCCGATGTGCGAGGCAATGAAGAGGCCGGCGCAGGAGCTGGGGCTATTGTCTCGGTCCTGAGGGAGCCATGAGGAGATGAGGTGGGAGGGGTTTGGGGTGGCTCTGCCCTCCCTGTCCCTAGCCCTCAGCCATGGCCACAGTGGTGTCTGCAGGCCCAGATGGGTGAAGGGACCCAGTACAGGGAAGTGGAAGCCCTACCGGGAGGCCTCTGACCGTGGGTAAGGAGTCTGCCTCCCCTCAGGACAAGAGACAGCACAAAGGTTAAAGGGGCAATGAAGTCAGGGCCTTGTGTGGGAGGACAGGCCCCAGCTATGTGGTCCAGAAGCCTGAGGAGCATCAGTGTTCTGAACAAACCTGTATTCTGGCCTCTGCAGGGAGCCCCACCTGTACTGCCTCTGAGGCTTGGGAGCACCCATCCTCCAGCTCATGGCTCCCCAACGGCACGGCTCTGCCCACCAGGGCAGGCAGGCCCCACACCTACCGCCACGGAGTTCTTCATGTCAGCCACGGCCGAAATGAACTCACTGAAGTGCAGCTCAGGGCAGTAGACCAGAGGGTGCACCAGGTCGCCACACTTCCGGCCAGCCTTCACACAGGCTACCTCCCACTCGGCGCTGTTGGTGAGCACGGCAGCATGGTACTTCCCCGTGGCAATTCCCTGGGTGGGGGACACAAGGGAAGAAACCATACCAGGGAGGGCAGGAGAGAAACACAAGAGACAAAAGAGGGACAGACAAAAGAGACTGACAGCGAGACTGACAGGGAGAGGCACAGCAAGCAAACAGAAAAATAAACGAGGGGAAAGGCAGCCTTACACCAGAGTAAGCAAGGCAGGAAAAGACCAGCATTCAGAGACAGGGTAGGCTCCAGCCACTGGCATGATGGCGTGCTCCCGTGCCCCCATGATGGCAAGTATTTAATGTCACCTGCACTGCTTCCACTCGTCCTTCCCCATCATAGGGTCAAGGAGGCTCAGCTTACAAGGGCTGTGGCCAAGGATGATGTCTGACACTCACCTGTGCGCCAGTCAGCGTGGCCATGTCCACAATGATGTCAGCCCCCAGGTCTTTGCAGGCATAGGACACACCGTCTGCCAGCACTAGCCTGCCCTCGGCATCTGTGTTGTTGATTTCCACGGTCCTGAGGTACAGCAGAGACCCCCCAGTTCAGGGATACAGTTCACAGGGGTGCTGAGTGACCCCCTTTAGAAGTGGGGAGCACAGTCCCTGTAAGTCCTCCATCCCCACCATACACATCTTTTCCAAGAGGCTGGGAAACCCATCCTCTAGGAGGTATCAGGAGGCAAGCAGTCCTCCTGCACATGGCCAGGCTCAGGTTGACCCAGCCTGGCCCTGGGAAGAAAGCATAGGTTTAAACAGCAGAGCAGTGTCAAGAAGTGAGGGGAGAGAAAGCCAGCCTTACTTTCCTGAATACAGCAGATGAATGTCATCAGGCCGTGTGGCGTTGGGCCCTACAGCATTCTCAGCCAAGCAGAACACAGCATGAAGGTTGTCTTTGAAACCCTGGAGGGAGAAGTAGGCAGAGGGGCTCCAGGAAGGGTAAGGGAGAGGGTGCCTCAGACCTGCAGACAGCAGGAGACAGACAGCCCGGGCAGGGAGAGGAGCTCAAGCCTGGAGGTGCCGTGCGAGGAGCTCCCTGAGCTCAAGCCTGGAGGTGCCATGCCAGGAGCTCTCTGCTAGAAGGGGGGGGGAGTCTCCCTGGAGCTCATACCATGCAGCAGCAGCACCCCAAGTGGAACAGGCTGGCAGAGCTTGAATCTGGCTGTCACCAAGAACCATGAGCCAGATGTGTCCTATGGATGTGCAGAATCTTATAGGCGTACGTCAAGACGCTTGGTTGAGGGACCACCAGGTGTCTCTACTATGGCGTTCCTGTTCCTACGGGACCTGAGTGGACTCGCTTAGGCCAGCCTATTCCTCATGCTGCTTTCCCTCCCCCGCTCCCCTCCTCCTTCGTTCCTTTGAGTTTTATGCCATTCCAGACAAGATCTCACTATGTAGCCCATGAAGGCCTCGACCTTGAGGCAGTTCTGCCCAGCTACCTGCTTGCCATTCTTACCCTAAACAGTTGCTGCTGCGTTTGACAGATGACTTCCAGCCCCACAGCTACTCCTGTACTTGGTAACCCTACTCCATGGTAAGAGACAGTCTTCCTGTGTATCCCTTCACTGAGTTCTACAGTGTGACTGTGGGCACTCGGGATCCCAGGAGCCGAGGGAAGGCCATCACTGCTCAGTCTGTGGCTCTTACTGAGGCACATTCCTTTTCAAGGATGGTGGCAGATGTCGGTGTCAAGTGGATGTACGAGCTAACAAAAGGAAACCTTTGTCTACAGCAGGGGCCCCTCAGCACTCTTCGAGTCACTGGCTCTAGACCCCCTGTAGATGGAGAGTCCCAACATGTCTCAGAGCCACCCATGGGTGCACCGACATCAGCAGCCAAGCGGCCTCTGCTGAAAGGGCAGAAGAGTCTAACTGCTGAGCACTTCCCAGCTAGTTTGTCCCAAATGCTGGGACAGCCCCTCTGCCAGAGCAACAACAGAGGTGAACGGGAGCCCAACCAGGGACCATCAGGCACATGCCCCCCCCCAAACATGCCTAGCAACCACTTCTCTTTTCACAGAACCTCCAGCACCTCAGCACAGGACTTGCTCCTTATGGGGAAGTGGAGCCCTGGAGGGAGAAGGGTCAAACAGAAGTCTGTGGGAGAGAAACTAGGCCTCAGGCCTTACCTGCTTGATGGCCGCTCTGAAGGCCCCCAGGATGGCTGCAGCACCCCCACAGTCTCGCTTCATCCCTGGCATAGTGGTCTGCAGTGACACAAAAACCAGGTGAGAGAGTAAGTGGCTTGAACACAGAATGTGGCTGGCAATAGCCGCTCGGATTCTGACCTCCCAGGCACAGCCCGTCTCCCCCAGGGCTCCCCAGGCCCTCAAGGAACCTGAGAATGCATGAAACTGACCAGTCATCCTGAAGCAAGGAAGTAATGACAACAGATACTAGGGACCCCTCTTTGTGTCAGTAGCTCTTCTGGGCCACCAAGCGGTAGATACGCAGTGCAGAAAGCCGATGGGCCCGCTACAGTGGCCAGAGTCACCATGTCTGGGCTTTCCCAAGGACAGGGGCACATGCATATGGAATTCTGGTACCCATGTCAGTTTGGGAAGTCCATGTGCAGGGCCCCTAACCTGAATCTAAATCTAAATCCCTGATCTAAATTGAAAGAAATAAACTGAGGCTCACTTGGGGACCCCTCACCAGCACCTTGAGAATCTTGGGCAGGCTTCCCATGGGAGTCAGAGCTAAGGGCCTCTCCCTATTTGTGGAACCCTGGAGGGATTGTACAGGAATCCCTGCTACCACAGGATCCTGTTGCATTTTCTGTGGGGGACCTGGGGGAGTCCCAGGCTTGTGCTCATCCAGTGCCCCTTGAGTTCAGCTCACAGTCAGGTCTGGCTTCCATCAGTGGCATCTGCCTATAGTCAGACACAGCATGCTGAGTGCCTCACCATGCTCTCTCCATCTCCAGCCACAGCAGGGATGGAGCCCACACAGCGCCCTGTCCACTCACCGTCCTGAGCATGGCCCTGCACCCTAGCCTCTTCTGGCCCTGGCTGCAGGCCCTGCTTCCTCCACCTCCAGTGTCCACACGAACCCACCTGCACCTGCCTGCCCCTCTTTGTCCTCTCCTGCATCTTCTCTGGGCAGGCCTGGCTCTGTGCCCTTCCACCTTTTCCCCAGTTCCCATCTGGCTGCTGACAGCACACCCCAACGACCCTTACATCACCATCATCATCACCCTCCTGTGCTCAGTTCAGAGACAGGTCTAAGGTGAGACAACCCTCCCCCAACCAGCCACGGATGTAAATATTGCCTCCTATGAACCGCTTAGCGGTTGTTAAACATCTTCACATTTTATAGATTTCTAACTCTAATGGACAAGTTCATATTTTAAATTAACAACAGGTACTCAGACATAAGGATTTGGGCTTGAAATGTACCAAGTGATTTTCAGAACCCTTATTGTATTACATGAGCCTTGAATTTCAGCAGAAAGCACTTTTAGAATACAAACTGAACTGCTTTTATAATTAAGTGAAAGCGATCTATCTCACACGATTGAAAAGCAGCCATCTTTCTGATCTAATGGGATTGTTTAAAAGGAAAAATGGGGCCCCAGGCCCCACAGCAAACCATTTCACAACGACCCACTCAGAAAATGTCTCCTGACAGCTGTTCATGGAACGTGGTGTGTTCTTGCACAGGTGTCACCTCGCGAGCACAGGAGGAAAATACTGAGCTTGAAAATAAAGCCCAACTGCTTACGTAAGGTCTCACCAACTGGTATGTTGCTTCTCTGATTATAAAAGTAAAGGTTCTCGTGGGGACAAATAAGATGCCCTCTGCCTTAGTCTCTGACACATGCACAAAAGTCACGGTGAAAGTGCACAGCCCTGGTTAGAGCAAAGCCACACTTCCACGTGAACCAGGAGTCTCCAGCTTCCTCTCTGTGCATTCCAGGAAACTCAAGTCATGACAACGTCACTCCAGATGCCCCTCGATGAAGCAATAACATTAAGTTTAAAAACCTCGGCCCCAACGTAAGTCACTGGCACTCCTGCCTGACAACACACCTCTGTGGGCTCCTCAGGGTGGCAGGCAGACCACAGGGTCGCCCTGCAAATGACAAGCCCAGCCAGCCACTGCCTGAGGCTGCAGCAAAGTGATCATTTCCAGATGAGGTGTCCGCCCAAGAACAGGGTGAGCCTCACTTCCGGGACACAGCCCACCACATTCATCACAGGCAGTAACAATGAAGGTCTGGGGCGTGAGCCAAAACTTTGAAAGATGTGTGTGCCACCAGGCAGCCTCCCCATGCTCAAGGACTTTTCTGATGAGCTAATGGTGACATCAAGGAATGTGTTTCTGATATCATGTGAGGAAGCGTGCCAAAATGTGGTGCTCATGCATAACTCTGGACTGTTATTTGCCAAATGATCTGCCTGTGGCCTTACAAAATCATACATCCTAAGTTCGGGACAAAGTTCACCCATAGGTTACAGGGTCTACATTGTAACGATCTTTAAAAAAACACCCACTTGTTGAGTCTGGGTGGAATAACAAAGAGCTCTGTGGTTATTAGACATAACTACTTCTTGTCCCAACCATAAAACTATACGAGAGCAGACTAACAGGATATATTTCCATTCAAACAACATGGCGGAAGGCTCCATGCACGTGCAGGATGCTGGCTTCCTCTACTGAGCACTCACCAAGATTTGCCAACATGTACAGTCATGCTTGCAAATTTTAAGTTAAAAAGAGACTTTCTTTAAAAATTATGAGTATATCTCTGTATGTATGTGCATGCCAGCGCAGTGCCCTTGGAAGCAGGAAGTCATTGCTCTGGTCCACCCACAAGGCAATGTCAAGAGTAAGCAAGAGTCCACTTTCCACCAAAGAGCAGGCATCTACCTCAGGGCAAAGCAGAGCTGAATGGGTAGGGTCACCAGGTGCAGGCGTGGAAGGGCACCAGAAGTCAAGTTCCTTGTAATTATCCTCGGCTTCCTGCTTCTACACAATGTCCAATCGAACCTCCCCCTCCTCGAATATATGTTCAAACAGCTGTTGTGGCAACTGTTGCCTTTTAAGTGTATCAGTAAAAGCCTCAAGCTCACCTATTCTTCACTCTTTAAGCAACACTCTTTGTTGTGGGTGGGCATCAAAGGCCCACTGGCCCTGGCAAGCAGACTAGGCCAACACATCCACTTGCCAACAGTAAGACAGGGCAAGACTGGAGCTGGGACTCCTGAGTTAAAATGGCGGCCTTGATCAAAGTGCCAGAACCCAGTGGCGGGGGAAGAACACAGATAGAGCCCGAGGTCCACCACATCTTTGCAATATACAAACCTTTGAATGTGGTGTTTGTGAAGTTTTGCTGCACAGATATGTGAATGTGTGAAAGTTGTAACAATGGATTTCAGATCTGGCCAGGGCTGCTCCAGAATATTCTCTGAACCAGGATCTTCAGGAGCCTGATAAGTGATCCTAAATTGAAGACTTCCTGGATCTCTGGCATTAATTTCTTGGAGTGACAGCAACTCCTTACAGTTTAACAGCGTTCTGGGACTCTGAGTAGGGACAGACAAACGACCCAGGCTCCAACACAGATGTGTGGCTGTATGAAGTTAAAGATGCGAGAGGCCCAGACAGAATTTAATGCCACAATTCATTAACACGGACTGAGAGGGAAGCTTGTTTTGTGGGGTTTTTTTTTCCTATTAAAAATACATTAATGATATTTGAACTGCTAATACATTGCCATTTTCTTTATTTGGATTGGAATATTTTTCTTTTCGTATTTTTCACTGGCAAGATAATATGTGCAAAATTCAATAAAAGAGTGTTTGCTATTGGTGGGGCTATTTTTAAACTTGTATTAGTTTCATTTTCTGATTATTTCTGGAAATACTTTTGTAGAGAAGAGGTGTTTTAAATAAAACTACCACCCCCTCCCACACTGAATGCATTAGGTACTCAAGACGCTGGTCTGAACTGCACCCTGAATCCCACACCTCACCTTCCCTTTGATGCTGAGACCCCCGGTGTCGTAGACGATACCCTTGCCCACCCAGGCGATGGTCTGTGTGGCCCCATCAGGAGTGTGGCTGAGGACTGCCAGGGCAGGTGGGTGGAGGGCGGCTTTGCCGACCCCATAGATCCCTGTGTGGGGAGAGGGAGAGTGTGGTAAGAGGCAGGTCACAGGTGGAGTCACCCAGAGGATTTGCAGATGCCTGCACTGGTGCTGGGTAGTGGATAGTTGTCCTGCAGAGCAGCCTGGCTGGATCTTCCTGCCCACCTCCTGCTTGGGGCCAGAGTGGGATGGGGGAATGAAGATCTATTCCAACATCTAAGGCCACAAATGATCCTGTGCAAAGTATTGTTGGGCAAGAAAATTCAGAGGGGGAAAAAAAAACCCTGTATCATGCCCAGGAGAAAAGACCAGGACTGCAGAGTGAAATGATCTTTTTGGACGATGTCTCAAGGCCTCTCCCGCCACGAGGCCCCTGCCCTGAGCCCTCGGTTGCACACAGGGTCTGCACATTCTCCTCGGCCTGCTCCCACGGCTTCTTCCCACTACCTTCCTCGTTCACCTTCTGCTTACGTGTTCCATCTTCCCAAAGAAAATGAGTCGTGCTTCAGTGCACAGGCTGTGCCCCACGATGCCCCACCCAGAACGAGTCAACAGCAGCCTAAAAAATCTCTACTCACTGCACAGGACCCACTGTAACTGCCATCACCTCAGAGAAAAACCCCTAACATAAAAGGCCTCTGCCTCTGTGTGTGTACAGGTGGGCGTGGCTACGGTGGCCCCCAGGGACATCTTTGATAGGCATTCACAACCGTTTTACCCCCTTCCCTTAGTGCAGGAAGTCCAAGAGTCTTGTCTTAATGACTAGCAGGTGACAAGGCCCCTCTTCTGAGACTGGGGGACGGAAGGGTGCCGCTACGTGGCTGGGTCAAGCCTTCCCACCCTGTCCCTAATGACCTCGCTATGAAGCAGACAGGGACCGCACTGAGCTGCCCCGTGGAGAGGAGCTGGTCTGATCGGCAGTCCTCCAGCTGTGAGGGAGGCTGCCTGCAAGCAGTGCTTCCTGGACTCACATGGCTATGACCCTAGCTTCACATAGCTGCGGTCACTAAAGACCCCAAGCCAGTCAGTCATCATCAGAGGTGTGTGACAGAGTGCTGCTTCCCCAGCCAGCGACCTTGGAGATGACCTGTTTTCAAGTTATAGATGACTATGACGGTGACCCTCGCCTGCTCAGCCTGAGAGCACCTCGAAGCTGCCCCGCCATTGTCCCTTCCCTCCAGTTCCCAGGCAAACCGGGGTGGGCCAACCTGAGAGATGAGGGGAGGAGGTAGCTTTGAGCTGAGCCAAGGCTCACCACATGACTGTCACTTGGGAGATGGAGAGCGCTATACACTCCTGGAAATGGCTGTGAACTTGTGTACTCGAGGAACAGAAGGCCCTGCTGAGCTGGCTCGGGGTATGGATGTACAGAGCGGGAAGCGGCCTCAGGAGGGGAAGGACATGGGTCTAGTGCCTTCCAGGATCAGCATCAGAGCCCGGAAGGCTTCCCCTCCCTCCCCCAGGGGATGCTCGGCTATTCCTAGGCTCTGGTCTTGGGCTGAGACCCAGGCTGACTCCCTTCAGGTCACAAGCAGGATGAAGTTTGGGACCCTGTGCCAAATGCCCCCACCAACAAACACCCCTGCCACCTGAGTGCCCCTCTCCCAGAGCCCAAGACCCACGGGCTCAGACCTCCACCCACCTCCAAATCCTCTGGTCTTTAGCTCCTCATCCCGGATGATGGTGGGGGCGATCCCCAGTTCTTTTCCAACTTTGCTAATCTCCTGGACATGTTCAGGGAAAAAACCAACAACATGAGACCCACAAAAAAGGCTTTACTCAAGTCGAGGCCAGGCTCCATGCCAGGGATGAGTCCATCCGTGGCCTCGTGGTGGGAAAGGAACCGCCTCAGGGGCCAGCGGCTGCGCCTCTCCTGATTAGGCCCAAGGGGAAGGCTGGCCTGTACACTCCGCTTCCTGCAGCTGGTGGCCATGGTTCTGCAAAGGGGCCTCAGGGAGGCCCCATCCTCCCCACGCCCTCAGCTGAAGCTGCCGACCTCTTGGAGCGAGGTGGACATCAGAATTTGGCAGAAGTAGCTCCAGGTTTCCCAAGCTTCCTTGGCTACTGTTTGGGATGGGATCTAGAGACCCACCCACTCACCTCAGCCCAGCCCCTCTCCTGGCAAGACAAGACCACGAACCTCAAGAAAGATGTCTGTGTTCATCTCACTGCAAGGTGTGTCCACAATTCGGGCGGCTAGCCGCACACCTTCGCTGGCATTCACCAAGCACTAGGGAAGGAAAAGAAGTCTATTGCTGTGGTTCAAGGACGGGATGGGAAGGGATGTGCCTTCCTCATCCATTTCCCCGAAGACATTAGAGGCACGTGACTCTGGGGGAAGGTTACATACACTGCTCATAGGCACAGAGGAAGCAGGTAGAGGGCATGTCACCCCTTGGTGTTGAGGGAATGCTTTCTTGGAGTCCCATGTGTGTCAGTCCCCTGGAGGGCACAGAGGTTTGACTATCCTGTCTTTCTTGTCATAGGATGATGACACTTTCTTGCACTCCTGTGCAAGGGAGTAATGGACCAGGAACTCATGGGAACTCGTGAGTCTCCAAGCACCCAGGAGGGAACTGGAACCTGAGACCACGGACGCCACCAGGCCTAGGGGTATCCGGTCCCATGCTGGGGGAGATAATGCAGAGACAGTCCCAGAGTGAACGCAGACGCTAGGTACATCCAAAGAAGGGACCTGATGGCTCTGCAAAGCCAGCCTGACCCTAGACCCCCGCCTGCCCTCCTTTCTCTACCAGAGGGCCTTGCTTCTAGTTGACTCAAGGGCACTTCTGCCCCCTTCAATCCTATCGCCTCAGAAGCCAGGGACAGCTGGCTGCGTCAGTACCTCTGCGTTGGCTGGAAGAAGCAAATATTAAGGGGCTTGCGGGGGCGCAGGGCAGCAGCTCGAAGTTCATCATCACCTCCCCCAGACTGGTGTGTCGGGAGGGCAGGCGCAGGTCGATTCTGCCAGCCGGCCACCACCTCCGCTGTCTGATCACCACTGCCTGTCCCAGGTAATTAAACCTCGAAGGCTCCAAGGTAGAGACCCGAGAACTGACAGCTCAAATATGAGATGTGCTTGTGAGGCCTCTGCCACCTGACAGCAGCTGGTGGCCTGTGTGGGATGTGTGTGGGCTGAGGACTGGCCTCAAGGGAGGTAGGAGTGACCCTGTGGACCCCCACACACAGACAAGCTCAGAACTCCTGCAAAGCAAGGCATGAAAAGAGCAGCGAATACAAGCCTCAGTTTCCACATCCCGAGACCAATGGTCGTCATTCACTCCCTTCTTTTCATATTTACGTGAGGCCCCACTACACACCAGGCACTGTGACAGACTCTCAGACGACTGAGGTCAATGTCAGCAGAGGGGAGCATGCAGCACTTGAGGCTGTGAATGAGGAGGCCAGGAGTCCACAGGACTCAGAGCTCTAGGGCCTGGGTTAAGGACTGAGGAGACTCCCCGCTGAGGAAAAGGGAGACGACCACAGGACGTCCATGAACAAGCCTGGCAAACTGAAGGGTAGCAGAAGCCCACTGGAAGCAGGACAGGGAGGCAGGAAGGGGCTGGGGCCAGCAGTGGGTGGGAAGAAGGCAGGGCTCAGGCTTCCAGGCTAGGATCTGGCAGAAGGTGGGCCTGGAGCTTTGAAAGACTCCTTAGAGACAGGAGGAAGGTACGGTCATCAGTGTCCATTGCCAGACAGAGCCCCGCTGGAACCAGCCAGAGTGGAGACAGGGAGGCCAGAGAAGTTTTAAAGAAGATGCTAGAACTGTGAGGGAGGAAGGGAGAGGGAAAGCTGGGGGCAGGGGGACTTCAGAACCCGGGTCTGTGCTTGGTGGAGAGCTGGCCACAGTGACCCCTGGAAACACAGCAGGGGCAAAAACTAGGTTTGGGTGAGGTGAGTAGAGGTTTATAAAAGCAAAGCGACTAGACTGTTCCCAAGTTTGGAGGTAAGGAACACAGAAAGCTGATTCAAATGGCAGAGGCAAAGGCCTGGTCCCCTTCTAATTCCATCAAGGAGACAGAAGACAAAGGCTCTGAGCAGGGGGAGCGCTTGGGGCTCAAGGCGACAACCTTGCTGACAAGTTGGTCTCTGACTGTTGGGAGGTCACAGCAGTGGGGGTAGGGACAGCCAAGTGGGAAGGCAGCCCAGGATCAGGCCCCTCTATATACTAATGAGTTGGGAATTGCATCCAGCCCTGGTTGCCTGCTTGTACACGATTATTCTTCAGGATCAAGTGAAGTAATTTATGTAAAAGTGCGCCATAAAGGGTGAAGCAGGACAGAATTAAGGTATAACCCTGCCCGGCACTGAGTAGGTGCCCAACAAACAGACACTAACTGAATGATACAGGGCCCTGAAAACCCAACACAACAGGACTCTGCAGAGACATATCTGCTGCTCTCTTAGGAACCCACAGGAGCACAGCAGTCTTTCCCTGGGGAAGATCGGCAGGAAGCTCTCCACCTGAGCTCCTAGGAGACAGTGTACCCTCCAGACACCCACTTGTAAGGTGGACACTTCCACTGGCCCGTTGTCCTGTCCCACCAGGAAGAACTCCACCGTGACAGTCCTCTTCTCTGTGCGGCGGGATGCCCCTGAGCGGTGGGTGAAGAGGGGAAAGGCCCGGGCCAGGGCACAGGCTGAGGCAAAGACATCTGGCTGCTCACAGACCATCTGTGGTGAGAGAGAAGCAGGGTGGGGCTGAGGACCGTTCACAGGGGGATGCCACCACGACTGCCCTAACTCCAGGGCTACTGTGGATCAGCCCGGAGCACCGTGACCCACTGAGCCATCTGAAGCTACAGCATGTCGTTCACTCTTCCCGGGCAGGGGAGCCAGGCACAGACATAAGCCCGAACCCCAATAAGTCTAGGCTGGCACCTTCGGATTTGCCTCCCAAACAGGTCTAGGAGAAATGGCTTTCTGGGTAAGGAACTCCATTGGGGGGGGTCACATGGCCCGTGGTGGGCCGTGGGCTCTCTGGGCACGCTGAAGCCCACGCGCATCACACTGGGGCCCTTGTTCAGCACTCACCAGGATGCACCGATGGGCTCCGGGTGGCAGGCAGGTTCGCACAAGCCTGCTGATGAAGTGGGAGGCTGAGGGGCTGTTGTGCCGGCTCACCCTGGAGGGTAGGGCCGCCACCGTGGCGCAGTTCAGGTAGAGGGGACAGCTGTCCGTGGGGTTGGGGTTGAGTGTGGCCAGGGCGGCCTGCCACAGCTAGATCGGAAAGGAGACAAGAGACACAGCAGGCTTCAAACCCTGTGTTGCGTGTCAGCAAAGGCCCAGACGGCCACGCCTGCTTCTCCAGGGCTGCGGGTGCTGCCCAGCGCCCCAGCCGAGCCCAGGCGGCTGCAGTGTGTCTCTCCCACCCTCGTGCGCCTGCCCTGGCTTGTCGGGGGGCCCTCTGCTTCGAACACTTGCAACCCCGACCTGGTCTTGGCCAGTTTCCATGGAAGCAGGTCGCGAGGCCACGGGCCACGCGCACAGGCTGCCACCCGCTTTCTGGAAGGCCCGGCCCGGCGGCCCGGGTGCAGGCGGCCAAGGCCGGGCCTCGGTGCACGCTGCACCGGCTTCCGGCTGGACGGTGGCGGTGGAGGCCTCCGCCCCGGGCCGGCGGGGCGTGCGGGTGAGGCGGGGCCTGCGCCCCAGGGCCTGGGCTTGGCGGGCGCATGGCGGCCGCGGCCCGCTCACCTCCTCGGTGACCCGGGGCTGCAGCTTCCCGCGGACGTGGCTCCAGGGCACGCGGTGCAGGTGGTGCAGCTGCCCGAGCAGCAGCAGGGGCCGGCTCTGCGGGTCCGCGTCCCCGGCGCTTGCCTGGAACTGCAGCCCCACGTTCGCCATCTTCGCCCCGCGGCCCCTGGCCCGGACACCCGCACCCCGCTCGGGCCCGGCTCGGCGCCGCCCCGGCCCGCCCGGACAACG